AACTCTCGTTCCCTACGTCGGGCGAGGCATTCTATCAAACACTTGGTGTGCGGTCTACCGTCTCCTCCCCTAAACTCGCCATCTCGGGTCGTAGGAAGGGGATTGCAAGGGCAAGACTAAGGAGAGTGCAATCTCTTGCTAAACTCCCACTCTCCCACTCATCTAACCATTGGAGCTCTCAATGAAAAGAGATCAATATGCACTCCTCTACAACAAAGCATACAAAGCAAAAACATACAACGTAACCAATCTCATCATTCATACATTCAAAGCATAAGAACACAAACACAATCCAATCCACATCCAAATCCTAGAAGTCTAACAAATCATCATCATTAATAAGATCACAAAGCATACATTAAATAAGAAATATGAACAAGGAAGAGTGGTTACCCAAGTATTCAATCTTGATGCTTGTAATACAATAGAAATGTTGAACAATGAATGCTAGGGTTGAAAAATAGAAATCTAATCTAGGAAATGAAAAGAAAAGATAAACCATAATCTAACCTAATCTACTGAAATGAAAGCTAGGGAAAGGGAAAAAAGAAGTCTCCCTAAACAATCCCCCTATAAGCCTTTAAATAGGCTTAAAATCTGTCTTTTCCGCGCGGGCATCCCAACGCTCATCACAACGTGCGTTGTGATGTTCGTTGTTCTTTCGGCTTCCGGGACAACGCACTCGCAACGCATGTTGCGGCTTGCGTTGCTGCGAACCTGCCCTTCTTGCCTTCACCAAGGTTGTAGCTCTTGAAGTTTCCAAACCACAACCTCTGAAATCACCTCAATTGGACACCCCTAGCTCAAGATATGATCGTTCTACCAAACTGTCGCCGGAATGCCCTAAAATTGACAATGTTTTGCTATGTTTCTAAAAGGCAATAGAATTAGTCCTTAATCCTAATTTTTATCAGACTAAGCTAATTAAGCACAAATTAAACATAAAGGACTCCAAATTATTGCACAATTAGCCTATTAAATACTCTATAAAACATAGCATATTTAGCGCTTATCAACTAGATGAAAATACAATAATGCCATTGGCATAGTCTTGACTGGACTGTGATCACTGCATCCACCCCCGGTAAGCTGGAGCATGAATGTATTGAAGGCCCAGCTTAGAATGAAAGCTATCAAGAACTGGTTTTGGCAAGGCTTTGGTAAATTCATCTGCAACTTGGTTCTGTGATGGAAAAGACAGCAGTTAATTATATTAGACATGTTAATTAATTTTTATAATAGTTATGCAAAAATCTCAAAAGGATTTCATGTCATTATAAATGAAAGAAAAAATGTTATGAGATATCATGTGATATGTGTCATAATATAGTGTTTTATATACATTCATATAGAATTAAACAAGTAAAATGCATTTTCACTTATTATAAACCACAAGTAATTATATTAGACATATAAATTAATTTTTATAACAGTTATGCAGAAATTTAAAGGAGTTCATGGCATTATAAATGAAAAAAAAAAAAAAAAATTGTTATGAGGTAACATGTGATGTGCCATAATATATTGTTTTATATAACAAAGTCAGATTTTGAAAGTCTTATGTATCAAGTTTTAATAACAAAGTCAGGTTTTGAAAAATTTGTAATATTGTTCAGGCCAAGTCTTTTTATAGACTAGCAGGCTAAGTCGAGCAAATATAAGGAGTTAGTAGTCCAATGAAAGGAAAAACTAGACCGATTGATGTCCTCTCATTTGATACAACAATGTAATTAGCAAATCAATGAAAAAAGAAAGAGAATAAAACACATCAACTAAGCTCTTGAAAATCCATGGCAATGTAATAATATTATATATTATGATGTCAGAGACATAGACACAGCAGCACATACAATTAAGGGAATGTGGCCATGCTAACTACATACTTAAAGGCAATAATCATTAAATTAATTAATGGCACTTGTAAAAACAATAGCAGGAATATGGTTCAGAACCGTTTTGCTCGCAAACACCATTCCCATTATATTGTTGATAGCATTGCTTTTGACAGTTTGTGAGGTTGCAAGAATTGGGATCCAATATTTTAGTGCATATGCATCTCTGCTGCCCATTTACTTGTTCAACTATCAAACAAACTGCATCAATATAATAATTAATTAATAAATCATATAATAATTATGTATGGATATATAATTATTTTAATATGATTCATATATATACCTGAAAGGACGAGGAGAATGAAGCAAAGAGCAAAGTTTGAAACCTTGGTAGCCATACCTTCAAACTACTAGGTATGATTAATTTGCTATGTGATGTGATGGTTGTGCTTTTGAGTTGAAGGCATATTTATAGTCCATATTGCTACACTTACCGATGCAATTTTATATAATTCATTTGTAGTAACGTTTAAGTGAATTTTTAACCATATATGCATGATTTGGCATATATGTCGAAATCTCAAAAGGATTCCACACTATTATAAATGAAAAAAATATATGTTATGTGATATTATTATGTGATATGTGTCATAATCTATTGTTTTATATGCATTCATCTAGAACTAAGCATATATGGTAAAATATATTTTTACTTATTATAAAACATACAGAAGTAATTATATTAGACATGTTAATTAATTTCCATAATAGTAGTGCAAAAATCTAAATAGGATTCCGGCCATGCCATTATAAATGGAAAAAAATGTTATGAAACGGAAGTAATTATATTATACATTCGTATAGAATTAAGCATATTTGGTTCACTTATTATAAAACGGAAGTAATTATATTAGAAATGTTTTTCATAATAGTTGTGCAAAAATCTCAAATAAATAATTCCATGCCGCTATAAATGGAAAAAAAATGTTATGAGATAGCATGTGATATGTATCATTTTTTTTATACATTCGTACAGAATTTAGCATATATAGATAAAATGCATTTTTACTTATTATAAAACGGAAATAATTATATTAGACATGTTAATTAATTTTCATAATATTTATGCAAAAATCTCAACAGGATTCCGTGCCATTGTAAATGAAAGAAAAATGTTATGAGATATCATGTGATATGTGTAATTGAAAGTTGGTTTTTAGTGGGAGTGTTTAGTGAGTATCGACATATCGCCATCAAGGAATGGCTAAAAAGAATTTGAATAGAGAGGGGTTAAATAGAAGATCATTGAGTGTTTGAAAGCTAATCCAAAGAGAATGATTGTTTGCATTGAGAAACTTAACAAATATAAAAGATAGCAATTGATTAAGCAATAGACAATGTTAAAGAGAGGATTTAAAACAACCTTGCATGGATGCTTCTTAATGTTCTAAGATTCTAAACCGAGCAATGTTCAATAATGAAAGTGAAGGAGTTAAGTAAGTGCGAACGTCATTCTCATGGACATTGGACTATCACCCAAGTTCTAATCTCATTCTCATAGCAACTAGACTAGGTGAGACAATTAATCAAACACTTGCTGTATTCATTCCCTTCCAACTTCCTGTTATCAAAGGAAAGCTAGAAATGTGATAGTTTGGCTATGGTGAAACCCCTATTCTCATAGGTGAGACACCCAATTCAAAACCTCTTGCAAAGTTGGGCCCTAACCAAACAAGAGTCAATACAATTCACTAATTTCACAACCAAATTCATCTTAAAGATATTGCAAGCCCTAGATTTGGAAATTCGATTCATATTAGCATCCATACAAAGAAATTCAATCAAAATCTCTAGATGAGTTTAATAAAGAGTTAATAACCAAAATGGTCCCTCGACTATGTTGTAATTACTAATTTGGTCCTTAACTACCATTCTTATCCAATTAAGTCCTCGACTATACAATCGATCTTTACCCAATTTAGTCTTTCGTTAATATGTCTGTTTGTTGACCATCAAAATTAGGGACAAAAAGTATAAATTTTATGAATCAACAGTATAAAAATTATGAATCTACAATATAGAAATTATGGATATGAAACTGTGCCCACCTTGCAAGGTGAGCACATGCTCACAACATAATTTGCCCTGATCACCGTACAATATAATAGTTGGCAATCCAAGGAGTATATAACTACACAAAATAGTCTTTTTTCTTTTAACAAATTGAAATATATTTATATTAATATGCAAGTTCACCTACTTTTTCAATATGGAATAAATGTTAAAAACTTTTCAAAATTTCATTTTTCTAACATCATAAATAGCGAATCAAGTTGCCCACTTATTAGCTAGGGAATCTGTTTTTTTTGCCTGAACGTGTTTCTTGGTTTGATGTTTCACCATCTTTTATTTTAAGTGCTTTGTTCGTTGATAATGAAATACAATCGATGCTTTTGGTTTCAAAAACATCATAAATAGAAAATCAATTTCTCAGTTATCCATTATTCATTATTTTGAATGTTACTCAAAAATTAGGAATAAAGGTTAAGTAGGTCATTCAACTGCACACAATAATTCCATTAGGCCACTGAACTTAAAAAGCCAACAATTGGATCCCTAAACTAACCAATTTCAAACAATTCTTCCAATTTGAAGGTTTCCAATAGGTGAACAGGTCATCCTTCCAGATAAATTATTTTTTAAAAAATAAATTTTTAAAATTAATTATTTAAATTTAAAAAAAAAAAAAAAAAAAAAAACAGGATCGTCCGGAGACGACCGTCTCCGGCCGGTTTCTTCGTCTCCGGCCATGGAGACGAAGAAACTGGCCGGTTGTCTCCGGCTGGAGTCTGTTTTTTTTTTTTTAATTTAAAAATAATTATTTTTTAAAATTTATTTTTTTAAAAATAATTAATTTGAGAGGATGACCTGTTGACCTGTTGGAAACCTTGAAATTAGAAGAATTGTTTGAAATTGGTTAGTTTAGGGACCTAATTGTTGATTTTTTCGATTCAGTGGCCTAATTGCATTATCCTGTGCCCAATTCGATTGCCTATCCCTTACTCCCTCAAATTAATATCTTAAAATAGCGGTTCAAAATGTCTTTTTTCTCTAATCTTTCCAATATGAATTCATCTCAAGTTCTCAACCCCCCTCCCCCACATGAGGAACAAATATATATTCTGCATTTTTATGGTGCTTGTATATCTGATTGGCATGAAATTTTATCCTTACAAATTTTAGTCCATTATATTTTAACAACTGTACAAATAATAAGCAGATGAGATGAGCTTATAGAAGCTTATTATATTACTGCTCCTTCCATATTCGACCTGTTACCTTTAGCTTAAGCTCTTGGGCATCGCCGGCGGAGAAGTAAAGCGCTATGGTTCTTGGAATTATGAGCCCATCTTGACTATCCCGAACCTGTCTATGGCTTTCACGGATACTCCTTGGCACTCCTTGCCATGTCAGTTTGCGCCCATGCCCGCCTACTTCCAAACTATAGCTGAACAATTTAGCCTCGCCATCTTCGCCCATGAACCGCAGAAAGGCCATGTACACCGGCGTCGTTCCCAGAGGGAATGCCTCAAAATGCAAGCAGAACTGCTTTCCATGACAGTCAAACACCTACACAGCACAATCATTAATTCAGATTGGCACCAATTAAGATGGTGTGTTTGGATCAAACACTTACCACTAAGTCAAAAGTTATAATGATAGCTAAAGTGTCTAACTTTACTTAAACTCATGGCTTGACTCTGGGCAATTTATATCGTGCACCACGACGCACAAAACGGGCACATAGCAATGTATGTTCAGGCACAAAACGGGCGCGTTTCAATTGCTACCGTCCAAACGGCCCAAACTCCATAATGTGTATTCAGTTAAAAGTTTCTATATATTGTGTTATGAGTTTCTGTATATTCAGTTAAGAGTTTCTAAGTATTCAGTTAAGAGTTTCTATGTATTATGTATCATGTTAGATTATGTGTATTCACTTATGAGTTTCTGTGTATTCTGTTATGAGTTTATGTGTATTAAAAACAGTTGATTTTTTTTTTTTTGACAATGTACCAAAACAACGTTGTTTTGGGTAGGGCGGGGTGCACAATGCATTGTGCACCATGGTACACGATATAACGATTGTTGACTCTGTGAAGGCTTATCACTAGGTCCTCTAACTTGAAGCGAAGACACCATTTTATTTCTTTTATACTGTCTAAGATTTTAGAGGCAAGGCCTTGAATTTTTAAATCAGATCTCTATCCAACAATTTTCTAGTCACCATGAGCCTTAACTTAACAAGCCTTTGCCTAGTAATTCTCTAGTCACATGGTGTTGGACTGGGCCCTTCACCCACCTCTAACCACCTGAATTTTTACAGGCCTCTGTCCAACTATTCCTAGTCACATGGTGTTCGACTTGACCCTTCATAGGCCTCTGCCCAAATGGCTAAAACCACCAAAAAAGAAAGGGAAAATTAAACTAACTTACAGTGAGCATCCATGTTGCGTTTTCAACTTGTTGAGGATCTGACTTGACATAGCGATGGTTAAAGGTGCAGCCGTTATGCATGTCGACCTTGTGATCCTCCCTGAGATGCTTTACCAGGGCTGGGATGTCGCCGGTGACGCAACACTCTGATCCTGCGTAGGGGCAATTGTAGGGGCGGAATCTACAACGTTTTTCGTGATTCAGCTTCCTGTAATACGGAAATATATGATCACAGCCGGCGCTTTGGAATCTGCAGGGAAGATCCAAAGAGTCGGCCACTTTTTCCAGGACTAAGCACCTGATGTCTCCCATCTCAGATTGGCAAGTCGGGCAAATCTTGTGCGCTCCATTGCAGCTTGCGCATAGGGTGTGCCCCTTTGGACACTACAAACAATAATCATTAATTAATATTTAGTTCAGGCCATTTGGGATATGGTCAAAACTTGTAGAATTTAGAAACACCCATCCTGTCGCCGGAACAAGATTTTGGGAAATCAAGAGAATTTACACTACCTTGAAGCTAGAGAAATCCATGGACCATAAATCTAAGAAGCTAAAGCCAACAATTTTGTTCTCTTTGTACGCATACAAGACAGATTCTGTTCCAATAAAAACCGGGGAAACTCAGAACACGAACGAGTCGCCGGAAAATCAAGAAACTGACCTGAAAAATCGGTGGAAGCATCGAATTTCTGCAGACGGGGCACTCCAGCAGCTGGTGCACGTCATAATTCAAAGGCCCATCCATCTTGTCGCCTCTCCCGCCGGCATACTTCACCAGAGCCCTGCTTTTCTCCGGTCGCCGTTTCGTTGCCATATCAAAATTCGCAGACTTCGGCTGTGTTTCCACCACTTCTCTACAAGCTCCACCTCCGGGAGCCATGATCGATCAAATACTTTGAGCGAGCTGACTTTCTGAGTCCTCTGTTCTGTTTACATAGACACGCCCAATCTGGTAGCGACAACAATATACTGTACTATCTAAACGTCTTCTATGGTGTGCAGAAATATTCAGTGCAAGTTCTGGATGGTCCATTCTTGACTTAGTTTTTAGTAAACCAAAACAATAATGGAAGAAATAAATAAATAAATAAATAAATTGAGAAATATAAAAAATGATATTTTTAAAATAATGTAGTGGGAAGTTTTGTTCACTATTCGGTAGAGTGAGAGCTGAGTCTATGATATTTTTAGCTTTTGGTAGATGCAGTAGGTAACGGATAATAAACTAATCATCACCAAATAGATTCTTTAATTTCACCAACCATTAAATCCAAGATATTAGTACATGTAGCATTTTTAATTTGATAATTCTTTGATTTACAAGGAAACCCGCAACGGCTCAATAGTTACTTAAATATATGTATTAGGTGTAGCCTGTCTTGTAACTTAATCAGTAAAGGGTCATAAGAAGATAAACTGATCAGCTTAAGTTGATCATAACGGTCCGCTCAAGTAAAAAAGATCCTATTGAAAGTCAAACTTAAACATTATGATTAGCAAGTTAAGTTCAAAAAACTTGGTTAGGTTGCCATTTAATTTGATTATTATTCTTGTTTAAAAGGATTATGAATGCTAAAAGCTACGGTGCACATCACGTAAGAATGTGCATCATGGTCTAATATGAAATGATGAGAAATTAACGAAATTCTACTTTAAAATATGCTGTGAAAAGTAAGGTGCATTTACTAAACAAAAAAAGAATTATCAATTCCTTTTTTATAATGAAAATAAAAAAATGTGTTTACTTGTACATTACATTTCTCCCATTTGAAAACATTGAAACACATATAAAAGAATAAAAAATGAAGAAAGGATAGTTATAGAAAATAAAATGAGAGAATTGAAGTAAAAGCAACATAAACTAGGAATGCAAATGAATTGAACCGCTTGCGAACAATTCAATCAATTTTTGTTTTAAGTTTGGTCAAATTTGAACTCAAAGTCGGCTTGTAAAGTATCGGGAGACTCTTCGCACGTGGACCATCCCTTATATATATAGGGGTGCATTCTAATACGAACGGCCACCCAGGAAAGAACTGAGAACCCAGCACGCGCCGCGTATCCAGACTCCAGATCTAAGGGATGAGAAATACTGATTTTATATAATAAGAAAAAAAAGTGGTGGTATTTTCGTAAATAATTGAACATCGAAGTGCTAGTAAAATGTATTACAAGTGCAAGTAACTGTTTCATATAATGCACCTCAGTGCGTGTAAAATGTATAACAAGTGCAGGTAAAATGTATTACATGTGCAAGTAAAATTTATACTGAGCATCAAAACTAAGTGCACCTGACGTTATAACTAGGTGCATCTATAGTTATAAATAGTTGCACCAAGGTGCATGAATGTTAACAAGACAAAATTACATGCACTTGTAAGTGATTTTACCTGCACCTTTTACTTGCAAATGCGCACTGCACTTATAACACATTTACATGCACCAAAGTTCGAGTTATTTACGAAAATGTCACCGCGTCGTTTTTTTTAAAATTACATCCGATTCATTCATCTGGACATGTAGACAGCGCTGAATGGTTCTCATTCTTCTCTGGGGCGGGCAGTTCGCATCTGAACGCACACACACACACACACACACACACACGGAGTACTATATAAATGTACAATCTAACTATTCGTTTAAACTTTTAATTGGGGCAAAACATATTATATATATTTATACCACGAACGCAAACTTTATTCTAACCAATCGAATCAAACTCAAGTCTTTATAAATAAATATGCATATATATATACTGCGTAATATATAGTTCCAATTCGAATTTGAGCTCAACTCAAACCAATCAATTCAAAATCAAGCTTTATAAAAATTAGCGAGTCAAACTTGAGCATAATTTTTTAGTTGGATGGAGTTCAAGTTCAAATTCTAACCTTCCTAGATTCAAACTTAGTTCAATTCGTTTACACCACTAACATAAACTTTCCAAATAATTGGAAAAAAAAAAAAAAAGGACATTTAATGCATAATATTTACAAGATACATAATATCTGATCCATCTTTTTTCATACGTCACGAAATTAAATTAAATTCGCAGAGAGATTAATTATAGGGAGTTGAAGAAATTAAATATACAAACTTAGTACGTACGATCATCTCCATAAACAACTGGAAATATATGTATATGTTTATTAAAGAAACGAGAATGGATTATTATCCCCCTTATAAAATAGATAAGTTCGAGTTGGAGGAAGACTTGTTGAGCTAAGTCATATGATCCATGGTTTGATTCTTCCTTTGAACATTTTATGAACAGATACTATATTGTAATAGATCAGTCAGTAGCATTCAGAAAAATAAAATAGCAATAAGGGATTGAAGGCCGGCTGGCAAGTGAAAGGCAAATTATACTGTAGGTCATGATCTACCTTATAAAATAAATTATTGATATAAAGTATATTTTTAATGAATAATGCTACAAACCTTTCCTATATATTTCTCTTATAAATTTCTCCTCCTGATGTATCATTATGTAATTGGTAGTTTAGGGTTGGGGTTCAACTTTTTAGAAAGAATGTAATTGGTAGTTAAATTTATTTATTAGTCAATGGTGGATTAACCAATTCATTGACATCCAATAAAAATACATCATGAAAGAAAAATTTGGAAGTAAAAATAAGGAAGGAAAAAAGTATTTTTTTTTATTTTTAATATACTAAAGAATATCAAATAATAAACATTTAACATATTAAAAATAAATCTTATATCAATGATCCACCTTACTGAATGAAGTATACTCTATGATATAGGCCCTGTTTGGTAAAATGGTTGTTAGCTGATAGCTGTTTGCTATTAGTTGATTGTGTTAATTAGAGGGTATAAATAGTTGATAACATTAGCTGATTGTATAAAAGTGTTTGGTAAATTAGCTGTTAGCTGATAGCTGTTTGGTATAATTTCTTTTCTCAGAAAGCTAATTGAAAAAGTTGCTAGGAGTAGCTTTTTTAATTTTAGCATTTTGGAGTTGCAAAAGGCTAATTAACCAAACATTTATATTGATATTTTAACTAAATCAAATAATTAATAGTGGTCAAATAAGCTAAAATTGGCCTATAGGCCAGTTTTTTACCAAACATGGCCATAATGATTGCAAACCAAATCAGGTTCTTTTAATGTTATTAACTTTATTACAATGTAATATCTATTCATAACTACTTTCTCGACATAATGAAACACAAATCAGGTTTAATAATTAATGAAATGAGGAGAAAACAAAAATAGTAATAGGACAAAAGAGGTGGTGAAAAAGACAAATGATGGGATTCTAGAATTCCAAAGCTTATCAAGAATGGGCAGGCAGCCAACGAACCAATTATTTGCTCATTATGCTTGTTTGGATCCTATTATCAAATAATGTACATTCAGTACAGTATATAAATATTATATTTTTAATATATTAAAAAATGTATATTATATTCAATAAAAGTGTTTTTATTTAAATATTAAAATTATATTATTTTATATAATATACATTTAATACACAAATAATTTATTTTTAATATATTTAAAAGTTACTTTTTGTTATAATCCACTCAATGGTCCACATAATAATGTGTCCAATTATTAGCAGGATAGGGACTACCCACTGCAAGTCTGCAACAACAAAACTCGAATATTCAGTTGCCGGTCTGAAATTTCAACCCTTTTTTTTTTTTTTTGAATGCTACTGGCTCTATTACAATGTAGTATCTGTTTATATACTTTCTCAACCTATTGAAACACAAAGAACCAATAACGTCTCCATTGAGACTTGAACTCACATCCTTTCAAATGAAAGTCCAACCCAGATACCATTAGACCATATAGTCTTGGTACTAATCTTTTAACTCAGCTGCTTTAATTTTCTTAATTGAATAGTTAAGTCACCATATTGTAATGAGATTTTTTTACTTTTTTTTTTTTTTTAGAAGTAGGCCATTTTTCAGCAATGACTCCATATGCAGAAACCCGCAGTTAAAGACAAGGAATTTAGTAGAAGATTAACCCATATAATATATATTGTTTAAAAGTTGGATTGATGAGTCATTTGAATTCAGTCTAAAAAAATCAACTCACACTAAAATATATTTGTTTTCTTTAAAAAAAAAAAAACATTATCTTTTATAAATGAATGCATTGTGGCATAGTAAGGGAAAAAAATCCAACATTTAAAAAGTAAAAGTAAAAGCTGCTTTAATTTTTTTAATCAATCTTTGTGTGTGAATGAGGCTGTAATGCTTAAAATTTTGATTTATTGGAAGCTTGTATAGTTTTTCAAGAAGATTACAAATACGCTAACAATAGATATTTTTTTTATGAACAATGAAACTTTGTGGTTATCAAATCAATTACTCCGTATTTAGTTAATATGGTGTAGTTGAGGTTGCAAATGATTAAAACTAATAGGGAAAAAAGTCAACTAGATCACTGAACTTTACTTGAAAAATTAATTAGGTGCTTAAACTTTTTAAAGTTGTAATTAAACCTATTAACATTTTATTTTAGTGCAATGAAGCCTAAAAATCAGTTAATAACATGTGATAGTAGGTCACTAAGACTCCGAGAACAATTTCCGACCAAAAATCGACCGCGGCGACTGGCGCCGATTGCCGATCGCCTTCTCCAGACGGCCAGTACTGGTTGCCTTTCTCCGGAGAGGCGACCACAAATGGTCGCCGAAGAAGGCGACCGTTTTTCTATGGCGACCGGCGCCGGTCTTTGGTGGTCAATTTTTGGTCGGAAATGATATGATGTCGGAACCCTAGTGACCTTCTACCACAGGTCACTAACCGATTTTTGGGTTTCATTGTATTAAAATAAAATGTTAATGAGTTTAACTACAACTTTAAAAAATTCAGTCACATAATTAACTTTTCAGGTAAAATTCGAGAGTCTATTTGACATTTTTCCAAACTAATATAATCAACTTTGCTTCCAAACTAATATTATCAACTTTGCAACCATGACGTGGGCGAGTGTGTTATGTGTACAAGAAAAGAACAAAAAAAAAAAAAAAAAAAAAAAAAAAACTTGGGTGACTCAGTCAACGACGATTCCATTCATTCTTCTGCCTTTTGTCACTTTAAAAAACACGCAAGTTTATGTATATATAAGATCTTTACTTCTGTTTAGTTATGTAGTAAACTTTTGACACAGCTCAACCTATGAGCAATCTTTTTGCAAAAAGAACATATCGAAAATTTTATAGGAGATTATGTATATAAGGTATGTTTCTCATAAGAATTAAATTTCTCATAAAAAAAAAAAAGTGTGAACTTATCTTAGTCATCTACTTAAAATGATTAAAGATTGGAAATTAATGAAAAAAAATGCAATAACATTTCTGTAATTACAATTGTACATTCAGAAACATTTGACAGTACATTCACGAATAATTGACAATGTATTTTAAAAATTTCTTTTTAAATGCACTATCAATCGTTTCAAAATGCACAATCATAATTACATAAATGTTACTTTTCTTTATTTTTTAACAATTGATCGTCTTAGATGAACGAATGAAATTAGTCATGTCCATGCATTCTCACAGGGAGCCTAGTTCTCATATGAACTATATATACACGCGCACACACGTGCACGCGTGCACTAAAAAAAAAAAAATTAAAACCAATCTCAGTAATCTATTTGAAAAAATCAAACTTGAGGAAAAAAAAAAACATTGTGACATTTTGGTAATTTTCTTTAGTTATAAAAGTACACTTTTAACACCATAGAGTTCTGCTTTTTTGGATAAATCTTAAAACCTAAACCAAATAAATAAATAAATCCTAAACTTAAACCGTAAATACTAAACCTTATGCAGTAAAAAGTGAACTTCTAAATCAAACTAAAAAAAATACTAAAATCAAACCAAAAAATTAAATCATAAACTCTTAAAGGTGAATATTAAGTGCAATGCACTTTCAAACTAGCCAAAACGGACTGTATAGTATTGAAAAATGCACTTTTAAAGTTGAAGAAACTTACCAAAATACTACAATAATTTATGTTTCCCGTCCTTTCTCTAAAACCATTTTATTATATTTAGCCGGATTGAGGATTTGTGATTGGTTTTTAGTTTTCTCATAAGAACAAGTTTTCAAATATTTTGAAAATAGATGTGCTCCTGATGATTTATGAAATATGAAGCATTTTTTAATAATTTTTTTAAAAAGAGAAGTGTCAAATAAATCCTTTAAAAGCCAATTGAGTTGGTAAGTAAAAGAATTCAATAAAGACCCCTTAAAATGAGTACAATTAATCCTAATGTTATATATTCGACAAGTTACCATTGATTTGGTGATAACCAGCCTTCCATGTATACATTTATTTAATTATGGCATGGTCCATTACTTTGAAAAATCTTGTACAACATTTTATTTTTAAAAAAAGGAATAAGGTTCAAATTGGTCTGACCGTAACCTAAAAATATAATTAGGCCACTGAAGGAAAAAAAAAAGAAAAAAAAAAAAAAAAAAAAGAGGTACAATTAGGCCACTGAACACCCCAAATATATGCAATTTCACTTGATAACAGGTTACCATCCATTTCAACAGGTTACCTACTTACGTGGATGGTGAGTTGGTATTTTTAATAATTTTTAATAATAAACTTTAAAAATAAAACTTAAACAAAAAACAAAAATAGAAAACATTGGCGACCCCTTCCCCCTCCTCCTTTGTCTGGGGAGGGATAGCTTGAGACGAAGGACCTGTCTTACACCACCCCCTTCCGACCTGTCTTCGTCTCCGGTTTGGAGACGAAGACAAATCTCTTCGTCTCCAACTCGAGACAAAGGAAGAGAGGGGCGGGGAAGCGGTGGCCGCCGGCCAGCAATCATTTTTAAAAAAAAAATTATTTTAAAAATTTATTATTAAAAATTATTTAAAATGTCAACTCACCATCCACGTAAAGCAGACAACCTGACGAAATGGATGGTAACCTGATATTAGGTGAAATTGTATACATTTGGAGTGTTCAATGACCTTATTACACATTTTTTTCGTTTAATGACCTAATTGTACTTTTTTTGTTTAGTTACCTAATTGCATTTTCAAGTTAGGTTCAGTAACCAATTTAAACCTTATTCCTTTGAAAAAAAGTTTTTAAAAAAATTAAAATTCTAAAACATTGGATGAAGACAACATTTCCATTCTCCATCCAGTGTCAGATGACAACCATGGCTATCTTATTGAGTCTAGATCTCGGCATAAAAAGCCTCGATAATCCGATTTCAGATTTCGTTTTAGAGTATAGATCTAAACTCATTAAGATATTAATGGCTATCATGTGATGTTGAAAATAAATTGTCTCTGTTCGGTGTTTTAATTTTTAATTTCTAAAAATAAAAAGATTTTCCAAGTAATGGGCTAATTCACTATCACATGAATAAATGTACACGTCAAAATTTAATCAACTTCAAATCATTTGTAACCAGCTAAGTATGTAAGATTAGAATTTAATTACACTTTTTTGTTTATTTAAGGTTTGAGAAACAAATATGCTATGGATATATAGGAGGATCTGGACAACATATTTTTAACATTTTGATGCCTCCTAAGAATAAAACTTTTCCTAGTAATAATGAGGACTCTTTACCAACTTCAATTTTGATTAACTCCTTCCTCCCTGCAATCTAATGTACTCAATCACAACTTACATTACTATCTCGAGCCACAATCCAACAATTAAGTTCCAAATCATCATAACCGCTAAGAGGTCTCAAATTCAATCCCCATTCCCGTTTTCCATTCTCTATTCTCAACCTATACCTAAATGGACACACATTTCACCTAATTCAAGGTAGTCACCGCAATAAACTTCCATCAACACATATATGATTATGACTTAAGTAATGATAAATTATCACCTTCAGAAATTGATTTATCTCATATGCTTTGCAACATATATAAAGATTATAAACACGTGAAAAGTGCAGCACAAGTAACTCAGATATGACACAAACAAACAAACAAACCAACATGATTGCTCAACATAGAAGATTATAAGCAATTGAGCATTGAAGAAAAGGAAAGATATTTTATAGAATAAGCAAAACTTAGAAATGCATTAAGAATACCTCATGTGAGTTGTCCACGAGAGCAAGTTCGATATTTTTTAAAGCATGCCTATGTATACTGGCAGTTTATACTTGAGCAAATGCTGTGAGACATTTACGCTGAAAGAAATTTAAACTACTGAAAGTGAATAGGATGAGAGGAGGCGATCAGTGCAGTCTCCTCCTTCTAAGCGGGCGTGAATCTCCACTATCAACATCTGAGATTCTAGAAGCATCGTTTCTTCTTCTGGAAGATGAGGTGGAAAGAGAAACTGTGGAATCTATTTCGACAGCAGTATCTACAGTCTGACTCTCGGAGTGAATCACGGCTGCGATGCTCGAAACAGAATCTCTGTCGTCAACCGGTAGAGCCTGCTCCTGACTTCTGTCACTGTTACGGAAATATGTTTCGAGCAGCCTTTCAGCAATGTTAAGGTTAGCAACACCAGCGGCCCGATGCAAATTTGATCTGCGTTGTAGAAGAGATGAAAGTCGCCGGTTTTCCGGGTTTTCCAGGCTTTCCAAGATATCCGAGTCAGTGGGACCCGCCATGTTAACGACATCATCAGATGGCAAGATAGGGTTCTGCTCTCTGCGTCCCCTCGAGGTAAGAATGCGGTTGAGCAAGGAGTTGGTTCTCTCGGGAGATTCGTGGGAGCCATCGAGATTTTGAGGCTGCATCTGGGTCAAATCGAATCTACTGCCAAGTCGACGAATCATTTCTTCCATCGGGATGGTGAACGCTGCAGCCCTCTGAATGGTTTGTCTCCAGCTCTCGACTCGTCGTGCTTGGGGCCTGTGAGGAACTTTGAGTGCAGAATTCTCTTCGGTCTCCCGAGCACTACCCCCACGACCGTAAATTGGAGTCACATTCTTCATTGTCACTTCCCCCTTACAAACAGGGCATTCTTTCGCATCCGAATGGACATGTAACCAACGATAAAGGCAAGGCCAACAAAACAAGTGGCCACAACAAGTCACGACGGGTTCCTTTGCCAAATCCAAGCATATATTGCAGTCAAAGAAGCTACCTTCATCCCCGTTTCCCTTTTCATTTTCTTCTTTTTTTCCCGATACCTCATCATTCAAACACGAATTGTTAGTATCGCATGTTTTGGTCACTTCTGCAGGCCTCTCCTCGGCAGCAATACTAGCCTCACCAGTCTGCAATCTGCTCCCACCGATCAATTCCAATGCAATGTTTCTAGTTTCAGGCGGGACTGGGAACTCTCTCCACATGGACCGCCACCGTTGCCTCCTCTGTCTCCTTTGCCTAACTGCTTCCCTAACTCTACCATCAAGGAACTCCTCCAAATTAATATTCTCAATTGGAAACGATTCGGGACCAAATTGTCTCCTTTCCCTAACAAAAATCTCCTCCAAATTAATATTCGGAGTGGGTACTGGTCCAGACTCAGGAGCCACTTCACCATTTGGATGATCAACAGGGCCCAAATTAAGATCAAGATTCATCGAATTCGGAGTCCCATCCTCCATAGTTCCTTAAACTAAACACACCCAAATTCCAGCTCAGTGCAACCAAAACCTATGTATGTGTCTTACACTCCCAATCAAACCAAAGCTCAGATTTCTCCCTCTGAATTCGAAAATTAAAAACCCAAACTTTGGTAATTCAGATAATTAAAAATGAAGTAAGCTCAGGTGGACTTAACCAAGAAACCCTAATTTACTGATTAAGAAAACCAAAACCCAGATTCCACTCGATAATATGAATAAAAACCATTATTGTATCCTGGCCATAAACAATAAAGCCCGGAAATTTATGCTGAAACAAATTGAATGAAAGGAAAAGAAAAATCCCTAATCATTTGTGGGTCAGTCAACAAAAACAAAACCCAAACCTCATCACAGAAAACGAAAAGAGCCAACGAGATTGTGACCCAGAATGAGATTCAATTTCACGAATCCAGCTCAAGATTGGAAATTCACGTTCTAGAATCCCAAGCAAAATTCAAACATAGGGTTTAATTACAATTCACCGATAAAAGACAAAAAACTCAAAAGTTGCTTCAGCTAGAGAGAGAAAGACAGAGAGACCTTTGAGCAAAATATTGGATTTTGAGGCTCAAGAGCGTTAAGCTGGAGCAAGAAATGCTTGTTACTTCTCTGAAATCGGTGGAGTACCGAGTGGATTTTTCATGGGTTGTGTTTTCTCTTGTAAATAGGGATCTGGTCCGAGAGAGTAAGAGAGATGATGGGCTGCCCCTGCCTGTTAATTGTGCATTTGTGTTCAATTCCTATTTTCCCAATAAAGATTAAACAATAGATAGAAAGAGATAGAGAGTTATGTCAAATATTAGTTGCGTACAATAACAAAATACTTTACATTAAATCTGGTTCTAGTTGATAACTTATGTATGGACAAATATTATAATGTAACAATAGTACTCAAAAAAACTTTACATTAAATCTTAAAAACTAATCATTTCAAATATATACTTTTGATATGGTAAAATATTACGGAGTATATTACAAATATGTAATTGTTATTTGAGACTTTGAAAGTGATTATTTTGTGAGTAATAAATATAAGAATGTATAGCATGGACTGATTTCAAGTCCCCGTTTAAATATTAATAATTTTGATATTATTATTTTTCTAGTTAGGATATTTCTTTGTTAGAAGGTGTTGTGTTTAAATTTTAAAATTTTTTATACTTAAAAAGTATTAATTGATTAGTTATATGATAATATATTCAAATGTTTTAAGAGAAGGACAAGTCAAAATGGGGAGTTAACTTATAGTTTAATATGTTCTTGAAATTTTATTGAAGTGGTCATTAACTAAATACACTTGTTGTATTATATTAGCCAAATATTCTTTTGTCACTTTTAATATGGAAAATATTATACTTCACAGGCAAATAAGAATAAGAAATTACTAAACATACCTCTTTTTTTTTTTTTTTTTTTTTTTTTTTTTTTCACATGTCTCAAATATGTTGCTAATTCTATGTCTATAATTAATAGTGATAATAACTCACCTACTCGTTGACTACCCAATATGCACTTCGGAAAAAATACATTGATCATACATTTGCCATTCAAGTTTGTCGGTATTTTATTTATTTGCTTGGACTAAGTGCAAATGAGTTAATCACTTGATGTCTGTTCTAATTACTAAAGTTTGTCATGAGCAACATAAATGAAGTGGCGATGAAGTTAGTCTACATATGCTAACTGATAGTTAACTAGTTGTTGGTTTGTCCGGCTTCGACATCTAGATTGGGTCACTTTCGTCCTTGTGGTTTTTTTTTTTTGTTTTTTTTTATTTTTTTTTATTTTTATTTTAAATCAGCTTACACATGTTACATGATCGATCTGACATCATTCTAATCATTGTGTTGAAAAAAATCAATGTTAATGGAATATATATATATATATATATATATATATATATATATATATATATATAGAGAGAGAGAGAGAGAGAGAGAGAGAGAGAGAGAGAGAGACACGATGCATATCAAATGCGCAAGAGGTCTTTAGGTAAAAAAAATATGGTTAAGTCTCAACCAAAGATGTACTCCAAATCAACAGACCAGATTGAAGATAATTAAAAATATGCGCGGTGACATTCTTGTAATTTTGAACAAACAAGTCAGCTTGTCTTTGTATCCGAGTGCACAGTTGTCCTTCTTCGAGTGCACATTTTTCCTTCTTCAAGTGCATACTTTTTCTTCTTCGAGTGCATCACTTTTATTTCAGTACTTAGTTTCTATTTTGAGTGCACATCATTTGTGCCTTTGAGTGCAAATCTGTTGGCCTTCAAGTGCATGTTTTTCTTTCTAAGAGTGTGTAATTAATTTAATTCGAATTTTTTCTTTTAGTGTCTTTTTTTTCCCCTTTGCCTTCTAGTGGTCCTCTTTATGCTTTCAAGTGCTCAATTTAATGCCTAAAACTCTAAAAGTGTATATGCGTCTTACAATTGTGTAAAAAGAGAGAAAAAAAAAAAAGAAAAAAAAAACTTAACATTCAAGTGAACCCTTTTGCCTTCAAGTGCATATTTCTTTTTCTTTAGGTGCACAACTTCTGGGCAGTATTTGTTATATCTTGTGCATTTTTTTTCAATACACATATAACTAAATTTCTAATAAAATTTGTGAGATTTACAAATGATTTGTATGGGTAATTGATTTAATAACACTTAAGTTGAATAACATCCTTTTTTGGCACCATAAATTTCATCAATTACACATCTATTTGCCTCCGAATGCAACTTTTTTGCCTTCAAGTACACAATTTTTACATTCAAGTGCATGGTTTTAAGCCTTAAGTGCACAAATCGCATTTTCGCACGGAAAGTGGCATGTGGACTTGATCCTAAACAAACAAACACACACACACACACACACACACACACAGATTTGCACTCAAAGTGAGATGAAAAAATTAATATATTGTATGCTCAAAGCAAATAATAACTAAGCGAATGAGAAATTGATTATCAAAATAAATCTATTTGAATTGAAAAAATGAAGGTGGAAAGACTTCAAATAATTTTTGAAAAAATGAAGGTGGAAAGACTTCAAATAATTTTTTCCACATTAAAAAAGAAAGTAGGTTTGAATTGTATAATTTAAAAGTTTTTCCTCGCTCTCGCAGTCCAAAACTAATTGGGTTACTGTGATTTAAAAAAAATAATAATTATAATATAATGCCATTTGAGGTATCGAACCTGGTGTATCCGACAATTATGCCATAGATCCAGAGTTGCCTTGCAAGATAAACATTTCATATGTAAACTGTGAACATCCAATATGTAAATTGTGAACATTTAATATATACAAAATAAAAATTATGAATATTCATTATATAAAATATGAACATTCAATATATAAATTGTATATTTTTAAACTTGGGTCCACCTTGCAAGGTGGACCGAGTCCCCAACATAATTTGCCCTGTGCGTCTAGTAGAGGTAAGAAACCTAAGCCCGCGTCGTTAGCGCCTATAAAACATTAAAACGGACACCTCCCTTACTGTACCGAAATTGCAGAGCGTCTTTTCCCGCCATGGTCGCCATGGAAGTGGACTCGGAGAGCTACGGCATCCTCCAGAGGAAACAGTCTATCTACAAATCCTTGGTACAACAACAAAAACGAACCCTATCTTCTACTAACAATTCATTCTCTCCCTGTCCATTCACACCTTCCACTCAAATCAACATGGTTATGGTTACCGTATTTCTAAATTAAATTTTCTTTGGTGTTTTAATTTTTCAGGATGAAAGCTTTCAGATTCAGAAGTTAATGTACAGGGGTCAACAGTACAGCCAGATATATTTTGCTAGACTTCACTTGATGAGAACTCTCCTCTACTCTCTCCTCCCAAATTGGAAACCCCATTTACCTGGTATCTGCTTCTTCGCCCCTATTTGCAGCTATTTATTGTAAATTTCGCATTCGAAAAAGTTTAGCTGGTTTATGCATATATTTTTGTTCAATTTGGTCTCTATAGTTTTTCCTCCTATAATTTTGACTTCTAAATTTTTTTAGTAGCAAAATTTCTGTTTAAATTCTGGGGAAAAAAAATAAATCAGACCTTGAAACGGATCTTTTTACAATAGTGGGGAAGGATTGATTTGAGTGTTCTTTACTCTTTCATTAGTTGCATTTGAAATGGGATTAGGGTTTTGGCCATTATAATTTTTCTTTAATAAGAAATTTTAGAAATGGTTTATTAATATTGTGAATTTCCACTGGACAGTACCTAATTCAAGTTGGAAGTGTCATTCTTAGTCTACTTCCTCTCTTTCCTGGGAAATTTGTGTTGGGTTACAATATTTTGTTGTATTTGCATGGATCTAAGACAAAAATTTTGGACTTATCTTCTTCTTATCCCTACCTCCCCCCTCAGGCCTTTAGTTTATCCCCTCTCCACATTTTGCTTTGCGATTGTACTGACAATGGCAAGACCCTATCAGTTTGAAGTCAAATTCACTTCTGTTTTTTTTCGAGTAATATTTTTTTTTAAAGTGTTGAGCTACATTTCATCCATCCTATGGTCTTACATTTGCTACTGTGAATTGATGGTTAGCTTTAATTAATGCAGTCTGTACTGTTCTGGGATTAGAGGAAGGGAAAGAATGCATTATTGTTGGGACCCTCTACAAGCACATGAAGCTTAAACCTTCCGTTCTTGATGAGTACTCTAAGGGGGTACAAAATTCTGATAAAGAATGTTTCATATTTGTCCTCTTTATCTACAATTCTCTGTTTTGCCAAATTTTGGAATTAAGTTACTTCATAATTGAAAGACACTAATAACTCAAATTCTGGTGGACAGAGATCTGCTACACCGCTTGCACAGAATCACAATTTTGTGCACTCGGATGATTATTTAGTTTTGGAAGATGAGAGTGGAAGAGTCAAACTGAGTGGCAGTTTGTTATTGCCTTCGACATATGTAACAGGTTCGCATTATTAGTTGCTACACGATCTCCTGTGATGTGCCTGATTGTTTCTTGCATGTCTGGCTTCTTTGGATGTTGCAATGGTGATCTTTTGAACAATTGTTGAGTATCACTAATCTTGAAGTTAACACTTAATTGCATGGTATTGAAGAGGAATTCAATAGAGTTGCAAATAAATTAACTAGTCATCTGAGGTGTTTCTTTGAGTTGTTTTGAGTGCCATAGGATATGCTTATGAACAATTCCCTTTTATATCACATTCACATGAACTAAAGTACTACAATAAAAAGATAAAATAATCTTACGCGAAGATATGGTTACTTTATCATATTCTATAATATACTCCTTAATATTTTATAGCATTCTGTCATGATCAAGTTTGCCTGACATACTTGATTTCTTTGATATGATATGCTTTATAGGGCTTGTTGTGGCATTACATGGAAAAGAAACTACTGCTGGTGATTTTCTGGTTGTAGATGTTCTAGAGGCTGACCTAGCACAACAAATAGAGCAACCACTTCAATCAGGTGAGATTGCATAACTTGAATGCTTTCTTAATCTCTGGCATTTTATTCAGTGTATGTGCTTGCTTGTTTTCTGGTGCTCTGCCATTCTCTGGACCGAATTTGAACCTTTGTTTGCATGGAGCCCTGCAAATTAATTTAGTGTCCAGATGAGGTGATATGAATCAAAGTTTTGTTTTCAGTATTTAATCATGAAGAACTGATTTAGTGTATGAGCCTGAGTAGGTGATTTCATCATAAATTAATGGAAATTGGAGTAGTACAGCTCTTATACTAAACAAACTTTAGAATTAGTATGTAAGAATTCAGGTTGAAACTTATTTGTTGGATGAACAGATGAAGACAAGTATGTGGTATTCATCTCTGGTTTGAGTGTTGGGAGCAGCACCTCCAATCCTCTACAGTTTCAGCTTTTAATTGATCATATAACTGGACATTTAGGAGATGAGAAGGTTCGTTTGGTTCTGTTTGTTTTATTTTCTCCTATCGCATATTTTGCATTTTACCATCTGATTAATTTGAGCAATATCTTTTTAACTTATTCAAAAAGGACCAAAATATTGCATCTCAAATTGTTCAAGTAGTCATTGCTGGAAATTCTGTCGAAGTTCCAAGTGGACTTCTGAATGGTCAGGTAAACTCTTTACTTTCTTTATTATAGAATAGATATTTGAATAATTTTTTCTTCTTCTTCTTATTATTATTATTATTATTATTATTATTATTATTATTATTATTATTATTATTATTTTCTTTTCTCTTCTGATAAATGAGGAAAAACTAATTAAGCACATAGGATAATTTTTTGATTCATATTCATTATGGCAGTGCCCTTTATGTTCTAAACTTGTGTCTTAGTTTCCTTCAACATACATTGTCATAAATACTGGATTTTTCAGTTTTTAGATTGAAATTAATATCCGAAGTTAGTTGATGCTTGTGATCAAATTAGATCTTCAATCAGTAATTTTATGTGCTAAAACATTTGTCAGCATTTGATTATTATTTTAAAAGTAAAGCAGGAATGCACAAGTTGCTCGCTCTTATGTCACAACTGATTGTTGCAGAATTTGGGTTCGAAGGACCAGTCTAAATTATCTGAGCCAATCAAAGAACTGGATATCTTGCTGACTCAGGTCTAGCTATCAATTAATTAAATTGAACTACATATTATTCTGTACTATAGTCTTGGTATTTATTATTATTATTGTTTTTTTTTTTTTTTTTTTTTTTTTTTGGGTTCAGATTGCAGCTGGTATACCTTTGGATATCATGCCTGGACCTGGTGATCCTGCGAATTTCGCCATGCCGCAACAGGTTGTTTTAATTATCTGAATATCTGAATGTTATGCTAGTTACAAAGCATGTTCTTTTAATTCATTTCAGATGTTCTGAATAATGTGGTGGTTATGTAGAATCTTTAATAATTAGTTCCCGTCTTTCTTGAAATGGCAGCCCCTGCATAGATGCCTTTTCCCTGGGTCATCAACATATAATACTTTCAGATCTTGTACTAATCCTCATTGCTTTGAGCTTGACAACCTTAGGTAAGGATATCTTTGTTTTGTTTGAAAGTAGCTGCTTCTTGTCGTGGAATATAGGTGAATGTTTAACATGATTATTGCATACTTTTTAGATTTCTGGGAACTTCAGGTCAGAACATAGATGACCTTGGGAAGTATTCAGAAGCAAAAGATAAACTTGAATTCATGGAGCGAACATTGAGATGGAGGCATCTGGCACCCACTGCACCAAATACCCTTGGTAAAACATGCATACTTTTGCTTGTAGTTTTCTGAGTAAATTATTACTCCAGTTAAATTTGTCATGATTTTCTGGCAGCCTATCCTGTCAATGATAGCCATCATACATATTAGATGTTGGGTAGTAACTTTCTGTGTTTGTAGGGTGCTATCCCTACACCGATAGGGATCCTTTCTTCGTCGAATCTTGTCCCCATGTTTATTTTGTGGGCAATCAAGATAAGTACGAGACTCGCTTGATCAAAGGTACTTGAGTCACATTTCTGAACATTTGCATACTGAGTTTTCGAGAGCGAGAGATGTAATTATGATAATGGTTTTGATGCAGGGCCAGAGGGGCAGGCGGTAAGACTCATTTGCATTCCTAGATTTGCCGAGACAGGTGTTGCTGTGGTGGTAAGATTTCATACCCTATTATCTTCAATTTATTTATTATGATCGTTACGGGACGATGAGTGATTGTGCAAACACATTCTTGTAAAATGCTTTTATTACTTCCCATGCAGTTAAACATGAGAAATCTTGAATGCTACACTCTTAGCATTGGTGGTCAAATAAACTTATAACCCACAGCTGGGATGAGCAAGTACCCTGGCCTGTAGTTTCTTGTGAGTTTTAATTTCATTCTCTACTGTTCTACAGACGTTAAATATTAGGTTACAATTGTATTTAGTGTATTCATGAATGGTTTGTCTTTCTGGTGCCATGAAACACATTCCACTGTGTTTTTATATGCACACCCCAGCAAATGTTCATTACAATTGTGAGTAATGTTTGTAAACTTAACATGGATCTTTTTTCTTTCCTGAGATAGGATTATATATATATGTAATGGGGATACCACAAATATATAGTTGGTATATTGCTTATCATCTTACAAAAAATAATTGGGGGGGGGGGGGGGGGGGGGGGGGGGGCGGGGAGAAAGAATTAAATAAAGAGAGAAGAACTAACATTAATGGCCTGTTTGGTTGGACGTAATTTGGCTGTAGTTGAATTGCAATTCAGTGGAAGCCACAATTACGCTGTTTGGTTGGAGGGAATTGCAATTCCACAGAATTACAATTCACCCCTTTTGCTGAACTGCAATTCATGGGCACCCCCCATGAATTGCAATTCGGTGGTTGTGAGAAAAGGAAAAGGGAATGAAATGACAAAAGTATCCTTAATTATTACTATTATTATTATTACATAAGGACATTTTAGTCTTATATCACTTCTTTCATTCCCTACCCAATAATTCTATTCATTCCGGCCTACCAAACAATGTAATTTGAATTCCTACTTTATTTCTACCTTATTCTTTTCCCACCGAATTGCAAATCCTTTTCACCCTAATTCCTTACTCCCAACCAAACGCCCTGTTAATTTTTGTTTCTAATCAGGCATTAATTAAATTATTTAATGGCGTGTCCAAAGATACATAATAGGCAGGGATACATTAGATACTAGCTCATGCAGCAATTCCTCTTACATACAATCCTATCTCATCTGGTCAAAAGATGATAGGGAAAGGTATAATTTTACAGTTCGATGGATTATTTAAACATTATTCCAAACTAATATGCCAAAACTATCTCTAAAATTAAAGATTCACATAAAAAGGTATATCAGCTCCATGATACATGTGTGGAAGAATATTCATAAATCATAATATTTGAATTAAATATTTATAGGGACTACTGTGTATTAGAACATATAATTTAGTTTCAAAAGGAAACATCACATAAAAAACATAAACATTCATTTCTCCAAGATTAATTAAGATCGAACACCACACAGAAACATAAACTAACATCACACTGGCTTAGCTCCTCCCTCCCTCTAATTTAATTAGAACTTTGATTGTATCTGAGAAATAGTATTGATGTCAACTTGGAAAGCCTTAGCAAGCACTGCACCCGCAATATCGGGTTTGGATCCGAACACCGCATTAGCCACCGTGACCACACCGGGGTTCTGGCTGCTCAACCCGGAAAACGCCACCGCGTTTGTTTTTCCGAGGTTGCGCTGGAAGTGCGGCAGCCCTACTGGGTACACGAAAACGTCACCCTTGTTCAGAATCTTAGAAATGAGGCGGTTTTCTGGGTTGGAGGTCACGAATCCAACCTCAATGGTTCCTTCAACCACCAGGAAGATCTCAGAGGCCCTGGGGTGATAGTGGGGCGGAATGACACCCCAAGGTGCGTAGTCGATGCGCGCCAGTGAGAGACCCAGAGTATTTAGGCCGGGGATTTGAGCCACGGTGACCGGCGTGACTGTGGAGCCGGTGGGGGTTGAGGCGGTGTTGCCGGCTATGTGAAGCCCGCTGAAGAAGAAATCATTCGCTTCAACCTGCGTGGGGTTCTTGCAGGCCAGACCATTCACTCTAACTGAGAATTCAAAAAAAAAAAAAAAAAAAAAGGGTCAAATTATATTCAAATAATGGATAAGAGTTAATACCAGCTAGGGTCTTCTGAGTATACTGGCACCTCTATATTTAGTCATAAACTTTCAATTTAATCTTAACTAGCCAGTCATAAGTAAGGGTAAAATTAGGACCAGTACAATGCTGGTGAGGACTAAATGTGGTGGTGTCACTGTTGTAGTATACGTGGTACCGGTATTAACCAATTGAAGAAGACCAATAATATAGAATTAAAGAGTAAAATGATGTAGTTAGTTGAGGAAGAACATGCATGCATGCATGCATATATAGGAATGAATATATATACCTGCACTATTAGCATCTGCAACACAGAAATCTTGGAGAGGTTTTGGCTCAAATGCAGTGGCAGTGTAACAGCACGCAATGGCCATGAAAGCCAAGAGGATTTCACATTTTGCCATTTTTAGTTATTATAAGATTGATAAATTATTGAGAAAGAGTATAATTTGTGTGGTGATTGATGGATTGGTGAGGCTTCGAATTTATATAGTGATGAGAGTACGTAGTGTGATGGAACCCCCCCAATCCCCATGCATGCATTGTTAGAATAGTTCCTTGTGCCTGCCGCCCAACCCCATGAAAAAGTACGTTTAATTTGATTGGTTGCACACAGGAGAAACAGTCTAAGCTGATCTCATGTACTCATCCTTGCTTGTCACAAAATGTTTTTAAATATTGATCCAATTCCTCATCTTGTTGATACATAAAAAATGTATATCACTTATTATTTGTAGACCATAAGAAGATGTAAAGATCGATAAAGGTTATTCGAGTGGGAGCAACTTATTGGTTTTCTTGATTTGAGTCGATTAGTTATGAACAATTTAAGCTAATTTACCTGTTAAATCATAAAGTGAATTTATTCAATGTACATTCTCATATAGTGACGGTGAATTTCTCTCATCACTTAAAAAGATAAAACTTGTCCTTTTAGGGTAAACTTGCATGGAAAAGTCATATATGTAGGTGCTGGGCTCATTATATTTAATTTGATTATGATATATAGTACTCCGTAATTGATAAGGCCAGGCATAAACAGAAAAGGAAGTTTAGCCAAATAAGTAGCGCCAAAGTGCAATCAAGTTTGTAGTTTATTAAAATTCGAATCCGCGTTGAATGAGATTACTAATCAGGGGACGTTATGCAATGGAACCGTGTTCACCATGACGGTTCCAACGGTGTTAGTACACCGTTATCTTTTTTTTTTTTTTTCTAATTGCGTGACTTTTCTTCTTTATTTTCACATTTTGCGGTTTCACTTTAATTTGAGGTGAACAAAGATTTCGGACATTCATAAATTATGAATTCATGCCTGCACATTCACTTTGGAACCATGCCTACACATTCCCGTCCGAAATCACGGACATTCATAAATTATGAATCCATGCCTGCACATTCACTTTGGAACCATGCCTACACATTCACTTTGGAACCATGAGATTATGAATTTTCTGTTATAAGATTATGAATTTTCTGTTATGAGATTATGAATTTTCAGTTATGAGATTATGAATTTTCTGTTATGCGATTATGAATTTTCTGTTATGAGATTATGAATTTTCATTACATTCATAATTTCGGACATTCATAAATTATGAATTCATGCGTGCACATTCACTTTGGAGCCATGCCTACATATTCCCGTCCGAAATCACGGACATTCATAAATTATGAATCCATGCCTGCACATTCACTTTGGAACCATGCCTACACATTCACTTTGGAACCATGAGATTATGAATTTTCTGTTATAAGATTATGAATTTTCTGTTATGAGATTATGAATTTTCAGTTGTGAGATTATGAATTTTCTGTTATGCGATTATGAATTTTCAGTTGTGAGATTATGAATTTTCTGTTATGCGATTATGAATTTTCTGTTATGAGATTATGAATTTTCATAAAATTCATAATCTCATAACAGAAAATTCATAATTTGATCAAACGGCGCCGTTAACTCCACATCCGCGATTTTTTTTTTTTTTTTTGCCTAAAAACGACGTCGTTTTGCCTTGTGTTCACCATTCTCGGTGAACACGATTTCATGGCATAATTTGCGACTAATCAGTATGAGATGAGACAAATTAAAGTTCTTTTCCCTTCAAAAAAAATTTGAAGTTCTTTTTTTTTTTTTTTTTTTTTTTTTTTTTTGAATCAGACAAATTAAACTTAGTACTAAATATGTAAATATTAATTTTTCTTCTCATCATTTATATAACAAAGCAACTCAGTTATTTTTAATATTAATTTGATCGTTCGGAATCATAGGCAGTAGGCAGTACTACATATCCCATGCAAACAAAAAATATCTTTTACTATTTTGTTGGTATAACTCAAACTCAATCTAAATTATTCTCATGGTAAGGATATCATCATATCAAATATAATACACACACACAAAAAAAAAAAACATATCTTCATTACAAAAATTGATTAGTTTTGACAAGATAATAGGACACAGAGAGCCGACTCAAAAGATCAAGTGTAACGAACGTATGATATTATTATAGAGCACTGCCTCATTAAAGGAGCAAAGTAAGAGAGGGACAGGAACACTTAAAGAGGAGAACACATAATTATTACAAGCTCCATTACATTGATTATAGGACCCTTTGTACTCAGTTAGTATAAATATTATATTTGACCCTATGACTGATAGGGGGGTCGGGCACACTGAATCTTGTACCGAGGAGTAAAAGCAATACAACTCTATCTTCTCTGTTTACTCGCGAACAAACTACATACTTTCTATATTTGTTCCAGTAACTTTTATACCATCAAGTTCATCATGCAATTTTTATTTTATTTTTTGTAATATTGTTTGTAATACAATATGCACCTAATGAGCAAGAAGCTCAATTGTCTGCATGGGCAGTTTAGTTGGTTCTTAGGTGGTAAATTGTAAGAAAGGACACATGATTAAGTCCTACCTAATGTGTCACTGATACATCATGATTTATTCCATTATTCTATTGATCGAGCTGGAGTGTAGATACTCCTGAGGCGAGAGAATTTCGTCTTTTGTGAGCAACATATTAAATTATTCAGATACGGAGTAATTAAAATGAATGTTAATATATATATTAAAAAAAAATCATCTTGATGGTCCTTTACCAAGTCAAATAAATAATAAAATTAAAAATGCATACAATACATCCAAATTAAATGTAAAGTTTATTTGTGTGAAGCTGAAATGCTAATTAATGTCGTGTAGCAAGTATGTGAGGAATACTGCAATGTAAAGTGGTGCATTATCGATTATGTTTTTCCTTTAATATTCAAAGCTAACCCCACCATAAAGAATCAGTCAATATGATGACAAAGTAAAAATAAAATTTCTTATTATATATAATATTCATATTATAGCGGAATTGGAAGCATAACTGTTGTTCTGTTATGTATATATACACAAAAATGGATGCTAATGATTAATGA